ACCCGGGTTGGGGAACTACACATATGAGAATTACTATATATGACTCCAACATTCCAAGTGAGTAATCAAGACTTGCACTTGTAGACTACCATTGATCTCATCAGTTATAAACAAACTATACAAAGTAGTGTATGAGAATTTACTTAACAAGCTTAAAGAACAATGGCTTAGCTTACACTTATTATATGTCATCATCATTTATTTTAGGAGTAGGCAAGGAGAAAGGCACAAAAGCAAGGGGAGAAAAAAAAGAGAATAAAGAAGAAGAGAGTAAACTGAAGGATGAGAAGGCTTTATGCATCACACATAAAGAGGTACAACAAAGCATAGAGCATAGAAAGCTAACTCAAAATTTTTTTAAGCCAGATTCTGAAGCAAGTTGTTTAGATGCCATCTCCGAGGTAACTCAGATGATAACGATATGCTGACCTGAAAAAAATGTAAAAAGTTGAGAGTAGAGGGAATACATGGGGAGAAACATCCATAGCTCTAGATGGATTCTGATCCATATTTAGTAGAGAGATCCCCGTCATATCATAGTCATTAATTATCTAGTGGATGATAATGATTTGTCTTTAAATATGAATTAACAATAAGTGCAATTTGTGCCGATATAATGAGTGCTAGATCTAGAATGAATCATAATTACCCACTAAATAATCAATGATTGCAATAAAAATTTAGTGGTCTCCCCACTACTATTTGACAATTGACATGGTGGAGAAGATCCAAATTCACTATAGATCAAGATCAAGACGAGTATCGAGTTAAGTTGCTATAGTGCTAGCCAAGGCCGGCCCTGATATTCTTAATTTTTCACAGGGCCCTAATCAAGCTTTCAAATGAGGGGCCTCTATATACAATATTTCATACACACAAAATTTTATAAGATAGCAAAATATTTTTTATTAAAATGAGACAATAAGCACATAATCATATTAATATTAAAATCAAAAAACTTATTAATATTAAAACGAGACAATCAAGCACATAATCGTATTAATATTTAATTTTGAATATGCTACAATCTAATAAATATCGAGAAAAATAAATTAATCAAGAACTCCTACCAAAAAGCATGTTAGGGACTAAAATATATCAAATATTTAAATTGAAATTTAAAATTAAACAATAAAATCTGTATAGGTAAAAGATCTTACAATTTCTTCCAAGTTTGAGATAAAGATGCTTTCTTTCTTGACAAAACACCAAATCCCGTTTGATTCTGACTTAATTCACAAAGCCCTAATCAATTTCAATTTCAATTTCAATTTCAATTTCAATTTCACAAAGCCCTAATTCCTAAACCCTAATTCCACAAAGTCCTAATTCCTAAACCATAGTGAGAACTGAGAACTTACAGAATGGAGGGGGCCGGAGCCGGGGCGTTTGGGGGCCCTAGGCGGACGCCTGACCCGCTTAGGGTTAGGGTCGGCCCTGGTGCTAGCTAATTCAGAAAAGGGTTCTTTTTTTCCTAGAAACCACTTTAACGATAGGATTATTTTCATTTTTAATTTATATGTAAACCATCTTTAACTAGATTTTTGTTCCAATCATCTACCTTAACAATAGGATTATTTTTATTTTCAATTAAAAGTGTTTTTAATTTATGACTTCTAAATTGTTATTACTAAGACGATATTAATTACCGAACAAGGTAATATTCTTTACAACATAAAAAATCAATCCCTATTAATAATAACTATAATTATGTAAAATAATTTATTAAATAAATAATTTTACTACTTTATATAATTAACAATTCTTTATAGTAAATTATAAATATTTATGAATTTTATTATCATTATAAATTATTAATATATTCTATTGAAGGACCAAATATATTGAGAAAATGAACAAGTGCATAGTTAATGAGAGGTAATGGATCATTACTTTTATAAATAATGGTATAATTGTGAGTTATAAAAAATTGTGAGGATAAAATAAGAAATCAAAATTTTTGACATGAGTATTCTCTTTTATAAGTAGTATAGATATAGATATAGATATAGATGTGGCTAGGATGTGGTTGATTGGAAAAAAAAAATCCACTTTAACGGTGGTTTACATATAAATTGAAAATGAAAAATGATTTCTATAAAATAACCTTGTTTCTAGGAAAACCCCCTTTAAAAAAAGGAATTTATATTCTCGCACTTTATAAACAGTTGTGTATATAATAACTAGAGGAAATCATCATATAATGAGGATACTTCAAAAGGGTGAAAAGGGCGGGCCATAAAAATGTAATAATTGCTTTTTATCTGCTCTAGACACTTGTTTTGGCAGCCTTGGGGTAGGAATAGTAAAATACAGTAGCAGCCTTTTGTTCTCCTACATGCTACAATTCACAAAATTAAGGATATCATCATTGTGCACTTAATTGCTCCTCTAAAGCTCTCCAGTTCAAAGCAAGGAAATAGCAAAAATTTTATGCTAATGTTTCTTTTCTTTTTTTTAACACTCAGTTGTGCCAATTAACATTCAAAATCTCTCTTATGTAGATAGAATGCACAAAATTTTCGTATCTAATCGTAATTGTTTATCATGTAGCGTATGATTATAATCTATCATGAGTATCAAAATTGAATGAATTGAAAGTCATGGGTCGCGTCACAGCGTTACCTGTAACTAATAAGTTAGATGTAAAATGATGGATGTGATTAAGAAATCAAATCTTCATTTTTCTGCCGAATTGATAGCCTACAAAACTTTTCTGAATTTTATCTTTTTATTTTTTTGATTTCTACCCCACATATCATGAACTTGCTAGGGTACTCGCACGTGAAATTGGGCCTTTAGATATTGACGTTTCTAAAGAGTAGTGCATTTGATTTTGGTTGGGGCTTTATTCTTGATTCCCTTGATCCTGGCTTGTCACGTGAGCTGACCTTACATTTATCAACCCTTTGCCAGACTCCCCCAGTCACTTTCGCAGCTTTAAAAAAAAAAAAATACTTATACTTGAGTTATGTCAGCCAAAGCTATAATAATTGTGTTATAGGGTAAAAGGGCAAAACTAAATGTAACAAAGATGCCAAAACACTCATCAGCTTTTCTCTTTGTTTTTTCTTATGACTCCGTATCATATATATTACATCTTTTAAACTTTTATTATATCAATCAATACTTTTATAGGGAATAGATAAAGGACACTTTATGGTCGGAAACATTTACAAATGAGAACATCTTTGGCTAAAACACTAGTTTTTTAAATATCCATTTTTTCATAATTTAATTTTTTTAATATTTAATTATATTTTTACTTGTACTGACGGGTAGAACCGTTGGTGCAGAGTTTACACCCGTTGGGGCCGTTTCAGCCGCAATGCTACTTGCAGCAACGGGTAATTTTTCTGTTCCAACGGTCCCAACCATTAGGGATACTATATGCCCCAACGGTTGCAGGCCTTCTTTGTACTAGTGATCGATCAGTAATTTTACTACTCAAGAAATAGTCACGCTTTAGCCAATCAAAATTGAACCCAGACTTTTTAACCGTGAAGAAAACAAGCCATGTCTCTACTACTTGAAAATTTGGTCAGACTAACAATATTCATACTGAATCTCCGCCTTGTTTCAGTCACAAATTATACTGATTTCATACATCCAAAGGGCTGCTCTCTGATTCAACTAAACAAAGAAAAAGTCAAAACCATACAAGGTTACCACAAAGACCAATTGTGGAGTCGGGAGTCTGATTTACATGGAGAATACATCTCGCTGGTAGCTATAAAATTGTACGTGGCTTTTTTTAAGGAGGTGATTGTCCCCGACAGAGCAGGAATTAAAGATTACTAGTGGAATCGTGATATGATTATACTCCAAAGTCGAGGTAATCTGATCACTAATTGCCTAGCTTTGTTAAGTTTTTATGCCATTGAAATTGTTTCCGTTTTTGTATGTTCTTCGTAGTCCACAATCTATGGTTAGGTTTTTTGTGGTCCAATCTATGTTCTTCTCCCATCTTCTGCTTCTAGCTGAAGCTGAGCTATTCCCGAATTGACCCTGCTTCCTAAAGAGAAATTAAGGTCGGAACCACCTGAAATGATTGGGGATTTTCCCTTGTTGACCATGTTGATAATAACTTCTAGGGGTTCATCATCTCGAGCAATCGATCCTCTTTGGTGGGAACGCCTTGATTTGGGCTTTGTCGTTCCATTGGAGATTCTCTCGGATATCGAGACCCTCTGCGGAGCGGTCTTGGGGCAGCTACATGTTGATAATACTGCCCTGATAAGCTTGGTACACGGACAGTGAGAATCCGCTTCCCGGGTGTTTCTCTTTCGAGATTCATCCGCACCCCCAGCCCGATAGTACAACTCATCGACGTTGCGGTCGGAGTAACCTATCGGCTGCTCACATGGGTTCTCAGGTATAACGCGTTCGTCTGTCCGACGCGTCTTCTTCTGAGTAAACACTACCTTATTGGCCTCTGCAAGAGTCGCACGTTTGGAATCACTCCTTTGTGAGGGTGAAACCTTAACGGGCTCTTGGTCCTTTGCACGCACCGCCGAGCTGGTTGTTGCAGAGATCGATTTGTTAGGAGATCGTGTACGACCCCCAGTCTGGATGTTGGCTCGAGGCTCCTTCAACGATCCCCAGCTTTCCTTGACAAGCGCTTTTCCTCGATTCTCGGGTAGAGCGTCGATACGGTTGTTCAGAGGATTCTTGAACTTGGGGAAATCCACGCTGCGGTGGGGCTTTACCGAAGGTTCGGGACCTGAAATTGACGAAGGTTGGAGAGCAATATTACCTGCTATTACCTTAGGCGTTGATTTGGCCTTCGGCATCCAAACCCGTTCGGATCTCGGCGATCTCTTAACGGCCTCTCCCTTTAGCATTTCTCGTGCTTTTTGGACCAGGGCTCGGGCATGCGCACGCAAGGCGCGGCGCTTCTGGATTCGCTCCTCGAGAGTAGAACGGGTTCTTTTGACATGAACCCATTTGTTTGTTTCTGCTTCGGAGGAGGGGCTGGTTGTTTGCCGTGGTTGCTCCTGGCGCCTGGGTCGGGGAAGTCGTCACTTATTGTCGCCATTGCCAACTTCTTGAACTATGACGTGTTCGACCTCGAGCTCACCCGCGTGGCCACCAACTCTGACCTGAGGTCCCTCCTCGTGCAGACCACCGACCGCTCCGTCATCGTGATTGAGGATATCGACTGCTCTCTCCAGATCACCGGAGACCGCCAAAACCACAACGGTGACGACAGCGACGACGACGAGAGCAATAACAATGGGAGAGTGACGTTGTCAGGGTTACTGAACTTCACCGACGGACTGTGGTCGTGCTGCGGGGAGCAGAGGATAATAGTATTCACGACAAATTACAAAGACGGAGTCGACGAGGCACTGCTGAGGGCAGGGAGGATGGACGTCCACCTGAGACTCGGAGAATGCGGTGTGCACGTAATGAGGGAGATGGTGGAGAGGTATGTTGGGGTGGCGGAGGAGGTTAAGGAGATGGCGGACGTGGCGGAGAGCTGCGTGAGGGCGGGAGCGGCGATGACGCCAGCTGAGGTCGGGGAGGTGCTAATGAGGAGTAGGGAGGATCCGCTGACCGCCGTTAGTGGCGGAGCTGCAGGCGAGGATTGGCGGTGGAGAAGAGACAAGACGAGGAGGGGGACGAGTTGTGGTGAGGTTACCGGCGGAGGAGGAGGGGGTGGGAGGGGAGGGTGAGGTTTTTGGGGAGGTTGAGGAGTTTGACTAAGTCTGAGTCTGGGAGGAGAGGGGTTTAGGGTTTTTGGAGCTTGGATTAGTTCTATTAATTAGGATTAGGGCTTTAACTTATGATGCTCTCTGTATTTGGTTGTTTTTCGTTAGTAAAGCGGTAGCATTGTGTAATTAAGTCAATATGGCCGACTTCGAAAGTTTGTGCACTAATCCAGGAACATATATCTCCTTGATCTACATTAATTAACACTATAGACTGAAATAACTATATATTTTCTTATAACTATACCATGAACAAACTATTTCTTACCTAAGGTATCGTTTGGCAAAGGGTTAGTGAGGAGTTAAAGAGACTTAATCCCTTCTTAACTCGTCAAACACAAAAAATCTATACAATAATTAAAGTGAGTTAACTCTCTATAATTTGTCAAACATAAAAAATATAGAAGGGTTAAACTAACCCCTCTCGAGGGATTAAAATGAGTTAACCCCTCAAAATGAGGGGTTTACTAATACTCTTATTTAGAAGGATTAAGAGTTAACCCTTCTAATTATAAAGAAAATAGTCAAAATCATTGTTATTCTCAAACACTAAAACTGATCACAATGGCTAAAATAAAACTTATTTAACGGGTTAATAATTTAGTCCTTCAGATTATCGAATGGGCTAAATGCATTAATCCTTCTATTTAACCCCGCTTCCTTAACCTTCATGTGTGGGAGAGGAAGTTGCACCTTAGAGTCCTCACATGCCTATATTTATATCCCTCGTTTTCAAAGAATTGCGGTCCAAATTCGTGTGATGTCATATATAGAGTATGTTAAATTGCTGTAGTAAAAGGATGACCTTCAATTTGTGGAACTAATGAGCTCAAGTCCAGCTCTGTTTTGTAATCTTTTGATGCGCCTTAGTTATATGGATTAACTTTTTAACTAGGGTTGTTTACTCAAATTAATTGATGGCAGGGGTGACGGCTAGGGTCCTCTCCTCCTCCACTATTTTTCTTGAGTAACAATCAAAGTTCAAATCTAGATAATGCATATAACTTTGGCCTCTTGTAATATATTTTTGAATAGGGCATCTTACCCTGTTTTTATTTCAAAAAAAAAATGCCCTGCAATGATTTACTTTTTACGTCCAATTTAGAGGTGTTAATTAAAGATTGAAGACACGAGATAGAAATGCTTAAAAATGTACGAATCATGCAAAAAATATATATTTCCTCACAATTTAGGCAAGTCTTACCTACCAAATGATGCTGATAATACTAGAAAACTAACCATACTACGTATAAAACTGCGAATTGTGTAGACCAAAAAAATGTTAACTTTGGTTCATCCCTATCGATCTTATTAATAGTTATCATCTATGAATGGATTTTACAATTAGAGAAGTATATTAATTCAGCAATACGATTGTACTTATTATCCGAAAAGTGCTTTATGAGATATTTGAAGAAACCATTGTACTGACAATTGTATCTATAATACTTTAAGGCTGCGTTTGGGAACTTGGATTTGGGCCCTGGATTTAAAATCCAGGGTATTTCAAATCCAAATTTCTTGTTTGGGCTCTAAGTTGGGCTGAGATTTGAAATCAAGTTATTTTGAAGAGGAGAATTTAGAAGCCCAAATACGCGTATTTCAAATCCCACCTTGCCCCTGGTATTTTCCAAATCCCGACCGGACTCCTCCTCTCTCTCATTTCTCAGTCCCGATCCCCGACTCTCAAGTTCTCTCTAACATCTATCTCTCCTCTCTCAAGTTCTCTCGTCATCGCATTCACTCACCACCGTCTGTTCCCTCCTCAGGATCTCGTCGCCGCCGTCGCCCCCGCTCTCCCCCTCGATGTCGATCTCAGCTCCGGCGAGGGTTTCGACGTCGTCTCCGTCGCTTTCGGCCAGGTGACACTTCACCACACTAGATCTGATCGAAAAGTGTTCTCTTTTGTGTAATTTTGAGTTCAATAGCTGACTGATAGAGTTGTAGCACTAAATGCTCTCGTCTCTTCCATCGAAACCCTAAATCTGACCTAGGGTTTAGGTCCATGATCTTCGCGGCTAAAGTTTGATTTGGTGGGTGGCATGAAGAGAGGATTTGAGACATTGTAGGAGGAGACTACGATCAGCGAAGAATTAAAGATCTACTTTGTCAACTTTTCTGGATTATGTTACTTAGGGTTTGAATTTATACTTTTGCACATACTTCCAATGTCTCACGCTGAGATTTGAAATCAAGTTATTTTGAAGAGGAGAATTTAGAAGCCCAAATACGCGTATTTCAAATTCCACCTTGCCCCTGGTATTTTCCAAATCCCGATCGGACTCCTCCTCTCTCTCATTTCTCAGTCCTCGAGATGGTCAATTTGAGATGGTCAATTTGAGAACACAAGTAAGATAGAATGTTTGAAAGATATTACTTTGGTTTCTAAACTTTTTCTTCTATTTCTTTTGTGTGCAACTTGTTACGGTGTACCAAATCTAGGTTGCAGTCTAGCTGATCATAATTCTTGGAATCCCTTATCAAACTGTGATTTAGGAACTATTGGATCTAGCACTGTCAAACAAAAAGTTCTGTGCAGTATGTTTGTTCAATTATTTGAAGGTCTTGTATGTTTTGTTATTACTTAAGATACGAAGGTGCTAATAAATAATTGATATTTGGATTCAAAGTATGAAAATTTAATGATATGTGCGGTCTGTTTTTAATAATTCTATAAGATTTTGGCTTATTGGTTATCTTCTCATTTTCCCAACATTTTTCTTGTTTCATTTCTCTTAGTTTCTGTTCACTCTTCGTTTTTAGTGAAACAAAATTTTGGATTGATTGTAATTTGAAGCTCTAGGGAGGTTATGACATATGCCAAATGACTGCGAGACTAAGTAGAGGTGGAAGCATGACTTGTTTTTATATTCAATGTTCTTCCTCTGATAAAAACCAAAGCTGGAGGAGAAGCATTCTTGTTGATGGTTACAAATACACACTACTAAAACCAATTACTTTACTGCCTGAAAAAATAAAAGAAAAATCTTCTCATCCACAGCCAGACATGCCAACCACGACCAAGTGTTTTACAAGCACTGATATTTGCAATATTTCGGTTAAAGAAGGTTATTGTATAAATGAGGAAGATGAGGAACATTGATAAATGCTTATTAACTCTCCTCATGTTCCTGTGTCCCTATTTGTTTTTCTTTAGTGCTATGGCACTACACAAACACAAAGAGGAACACAAGGATAGTTAGTAAGCGTTTAAAGAGAAGTTCACAAGTTCAAGACACATCACCTTGTACTAGAAGAACTTACTGTATGTTCTGATTTCAAGGTGTCACAAATCAAATTAGTTATGCTTTTATGTAAACATTTATATGGACATCTTTGTAGCACTGATAACCTTTTTATGTGACTGTCCTTTTTGACATTCTTGCTCAAGTTTTCTGAAATTCATTATCTATGCTCAATCTGTTCATTACTCTCATTCCAGGATTACTTCTCAAAGTGGGGAGAGAGTGGTACAGTGGACCTAAAATATGAACCCTTAAGTTCACGCGACAAAACTAGTGTTAACGAACAGACACCCGCATGCATCACATGGGATCTATGTTTGTGTAAAATATAAATCATTAAATGTAGGTGCTTTGTTGCATGATTGGGTCAAAGATTTCATAAATTTCTAGTGTACATTTGTCAACACCACAATTACAGATAGCTCATTAGAAAGATAAACTGTTTGCAATTTAAAGGAAATGATGATAGATTATTAGCTATCCTTCTGTTTAGTATTTCCTTTTTTGAGTTCAGTATCATATTTTAGCAAGCAAACAGATTACTATTATGGACCGTCATAGCATATTTGTGTCTTGATCAGTGGCGAATATAAATATCCCTGTTTCCAGTTTATTCTTAATCAGAGAAATCAATATCCAAATCAAGATCCTAGGCCACCAATTCGGTGTTGATGTAGACGATTGATGTCAACTTTGTTAATTCTTCCATAGACCTTTGAACCTGGTTGCCAAAACCCCTTTGATAAGCAATGGTGGTGATAATGATATGTTGGGAATATAGTATTGAAAATATAGGCTTACCCCCAGCAGTAAACAACATCATTCATTTCCACAAAACACAATAAATCTTCACTAATTTATGCTTTTGAGTAAGATGAAAACATAAATAATATTCATGCACCGCGTAGATCATTTTTATTTAATTGACTTACAACTTTCTGCCACATGATGTTCTAACAGGTGCATATATTTAATTTCTCAGGTTGGTTTTGTCACCTTCTTCCTAAATTCTGTCCTTGATAATCTAACATCAACAATTGTCATGGTCTCCTTGTTGTGAAAACTAGTGCCTCCATCAGAATACAGAAAGTATGCAATCATGTACTTGTTTTCTTTTTCTTTTTTTAAAGGTTGATGGTCTTCATGATTCAACTTTAATGTTTGATTTTTTGTGTCATGGACTAATTGATGCTAAATTGTGTAATGTAGGACTCAATAAATTCTTCGAGATATGAAGTTGGACACATTGGAGAGAAAGGAGGAGAAGACTTGAAGGATAAATAGAGGATTCTAGATATGGTTTCTTTTAATAGTTTATGTTGTGGTAATTTGACTTGTTGTAGCAAATCATGATTATCAGCTATCTATAGCATGTTGTATTTTAAATGAAGGCTTATTGTGTAGCCTAGAGTTTCTTATGAGGATCTTTTGCGAAACTCTTTTGTGTCTTCAGCCTTTTTATCATGACTAGTTATTGGAGTAATATTTTTGTTCTTTGGAGATCGAAGGTCGATCTAATATTTTGGATGAAACCATGAAAAAATGTCATAATAATGAATATTTTGACATCATTATTATTTTTGTATTCTCTTATATTGGTTCATGAAAGATAAGATGTTTGCATGTGTATTTATAATTGCTACTGAAGAGATCACATTTTGATTTTGAATCACTTCAAATCCAAATTCATGAATAATAAAATACATCCAAACATTAGATTTTAAATCTTTTATTTCAAATCCTAGCATTTAGTAATGACATCCAAACAAATGATTTTATCAAATCATGGATTTCAAATCCTAGATTTGAAATCCCTTGATTTTAAATCAAGCTTCTAAATCCAAATCTTAGTTCCCAAACGCAGCCTAAGATCATTACAGGCTCATATACGCAACATTCATTACAATTCATTTTAGCACTCTTCCGTGTTTAGCGTATCGTTGCGAGCAAAGCCTTGGACGATAAACTTCACTTTTATCATGATCTAAAAATCTAGGGTAAAACAAATCATGTACATTGAACTAACAACAAGAACAAAAGGATTTACATCATGAAATAAATTTCATTTTTAATGAATATGTATCTACATTTTTAGTGTGAAATATGTGTATTTCAATACAAAATCAGCGTTGAGTTAAAAAACAACTAGTATAAAAGTTATGTGATCTATTGTCGTTGAGATGATTTTCTTAAGATTGAATTAAATAGTTGCTTTTCATAACGTAAAATTTTTAATGTTTTTTTTTTTTTTTGAAATTTCCTTCTTCTGGAATCAATTGCATTTACTCCTCCAAGTTGTTAAAGCATCATGTTTCTTCCTTATTGATCCTACATTATACAAAATTCAACATCAATTAGTCCTCTATACTCTCCATTGTGACGCCCACCCTCCCTGACTCCTTCACCCTCGAGCACACCCGTGTCATCACCAACTGCGACCCGAGGCCTCTCCTCGTGCAGGCCAATAAAAAGTTAAAAGGAGGCCCGAGCCTCCATGGATCATACTCCAGGGTAACTTGGTATAGGTCAAGAGACGTGAAACCAAATTACGGTACTTTAAATAGTACTGAACACAAGTGCAATGGAATATTTTAGTTTAGCGGCTCATCTTTGAGAATATCCAAAATACAAAAATGTATCATCTCAGCAGATAAAAAGAAGGAGATCCTTGAATGTACCTCTTTGGATATAGAGCAGACTGAAAACAAATCTGATCAACAACATATCATCAGATCTTTTCAATTATTTGTGCTCTTGAATCCACTTCCAACCCAAGAAGATGCTAGTTCTGAAACCAAAATCAAAATCACTTGGAGCTACATATATATTTCACTTGTATCAAAACTGATGACAAACTTATAAGCAGCTACAGCTCAAAGAAGGGGAAGAGAACAAGATCCGTTAATTTCCTTCACGCGCAAAATGAAGTAAATCCAACAGAACAGAGAACTGTACCCATATTGTACTATAAATGTATAAGATCATATTCAATGCCATGATCAGATCTGAATCAAATCAAGTTCAGAATAGCAGCATACCAAACACTGAATCCATGCCTCAATAAAGAAAATCCTTTCAAAAAAAATCACTTTATACCCTCAACAAAATATCTCTATCCTCACCAAACACCAAAATCATTGTACTGCTCTTTTTCTCCATTTTCTTTCCCTTTTCGTGTTTTCCNAGACGTGAGAAATTGTTAAAACCACACAAAGTATAAGAAAGGCAGTGCAATCTAAAATCTATGATGCAGTTTCCCCCTCCAAAAATCAAGGTTCTAAAGTCGTATTCATCAACATGAAATATCCACCAAAAAGAAATAGGTGACTAGCTAAAGTTTCATCCGAAATAGTTCATAATGGAATGATCATAGATGATAACATCCCCACTAAAAAACAAGTACCATAATCTACAAGTAAATGCAAATGTTAAGGGCTATGAGTCAATTTGGTAAAGAGAGAGAAATAAATTTGAAAGAACAAAAAGGAACGGTAGGATAATCAACAACTAAAAGATCTGCGGAAAATAGATCTAGTTTCTATATGAAGAAGAAAGTCCACAGCTATTTTGTAGTTGTTAAGTAACAACTATCGCGACTTACCCGTACGGTCATGCTGCATCTAACAAAGCTTGATATCGAGGTCTCATACATCAAGTTTGAAACAAAACAATATAGGACACAAGAATAGCAATAATTGTTGGATTTAATCTAATAAATCTATTTGTGGGCACATATGATTAATCAATGTGTATTGCTATCTTTCAGGATAACCCACTAAAGTGATCAAATAAGTTGGCTTAATTTGGTATTTAAATATAATCATGGGGTCATATGTGCAGATACCAGGTTGTAATTGTAATTTATTGAGGGGCTAAATTACAAAAGTACAACATCTATAAATAAGGGGTTATGGTTCCTAACCTAGGGTTACATTCTCTAATTCTCTTCACCCCCATCTAAGAGAGAAATTCGGTCCTAGAGGAAACCCTAAGGTTAGAAGATCCAAAACCCAAAATCAAGATCAAGCAATGGATTCAGGTATAAGCTTCCGCTCTTTTGATCCTTGTTAATCTCTTTGAATTAATCATGGCTATATGGTTTTTAGATCTCAAGTTTTATGATGTAGATCTAACAATAAAACTAATAAATGGTAGTGATTCACCGGATTTGATGAGTGAAAGAAATTCTCAACCACGTGAAATATGTATCAGACTACAAGCACCAACTCAAACATGTTGATAAACAATTTCAACAAGTTTTGGTAAAAGGATATATTTCTCCTCCTCAACAATAGCTACAAGAGAATTATGATCCGGTTACTTACTTGAAAAGACTAAAAAGTTGTGCCATGTCATATAAAATGCAGATGCATATCATTTTACAATTACATATATACACTTGATTTAAAACGGAAATACATTTCCTGCAACGAAATACGGAAATCCTACAACTTTGGCACAAACACTGAATTCGGGTTTGGAAATTCATTTTCTACAATAAAAATCCAAATATCAAAACAACAAATTTGAGACTAATTTCTTGCAACGCATTCTACAAGCAACATTTTCTTCACACAACATTTGCTACATTGACAACAACAATATACAAAACACCCCCTAAAGCAAAACTTTGATGTCAACAATTAAAAAGAAATTTAAATAAAACATGCAACAGAAAGAGGAAGCAGTCATTACCAGCGAGATTAGGAGTGGGTTTTCTTATTGGGAAAGGGAGGAAGGCGAAGCACGGCTTGTTCACTCTCAATTGGGTCTGACCTCAGAATCTAACACAAAAAAGAACAATAACCCATTAGAAAACAAATGGAGAGTACAATGGGACTAGTTTCGATTGGGGGGAAAAGCGAAGGGTTTGGAGACGAACTGGGTCCCTGAGGACGGGCTTTGTGTCGTCTTTGGCCGGACGAAATGGGGGCTTCTGCTTCTCTCTGGTTTCTGCCGTCGCTCCGGCGACGGCGAGATCGCCGGTTGCTGGGATTTGGCTGCAGCCTTTCTTCATTGCTCCTGTTTGGGTGGGAGTCGAGTTGGGCAGGTTAGACTCCGGGCCTGCGGCGATATGATAGGGGGAAGGGTAAATTTTACAAAGCCCTCCTGAACTTTGAGGGGTTTACCCAGGGAATCCCTAATTTATTTATTTTATCACCGAAAACGCCCTGAACTTTGAGGGGTTTACCCAGGAAATCCTTAATTTATTTTCCCATTGAAACCCCTTATCTCTGTGATGTCTTCAAAAAAAAAAACCTTTATGCAGGAACTTAAGAAGGTTCCGTTGAAAAAAAAGATTGGAGGAGTTCGACAGGTGGTGGGAAAATTAAGTGTGGAGTTGGCAACCCACCAAAAACTAGGGCAATACTAGTCTGATGCGGTTATTAAATTCTGATCTAATTTCTTTTTGCCAAACAAAAACCCAAAATTTAAAATTTTCAAGAATACCCAAATGGTCTGCTCAAATGGTGCGTGTAGTGGTTGCTTTAAAAGGTCCTCCAACTCGCTAGATGATCGATGCGGATGACGTGGTGTTAGCTGTGGATGAGAGATGTGTCTTTGAAGAATTGCAAAAAAATATTTCTTTTGCCTTGTTTATCAATGGATCTTGTGCCTCCTTATAGTCAGTGAGGTTTAGTATTTTATCCAAAAAAGGAGGGATAAAGAGACTGGAAGACTAGAATCAAACTCAAGATTAATGTGAGAATAAGATAATCAAAACACTGAATAAAACACAACATGAAACAATCACAATTAGATAATCAATATAACATGATTCGGCTGCAAAATGGGCTTACATCCACAAACAAAAAAGGAGAGATTTTGCACTATATCAATAATAAGAGAACAATCAACTCCCAACTCTAGAAAGTTTGAGACTCTAATAATTATAATGTGAATAATGGGAAACCACAAGGATTACTTACTAGCTCAAAAGTCAAAACACACTATCGAATAATCGCATTTTAACAAAAAGTAAAAGTCAACCAAGATCTTCAAGATGTTGTGCCCTGTCGAACAAATCAACTCAATGATGAGTTCATCACCAAGACACACACTCTCTACCTATAGAGGACTAAGCCAACTTAGCCGAGTATCCGCACCACTTGACTAACCAAATGTTCGAGTCCATTCATGAGCACGAGCTCAAACCTAATATTATAAAACAAATCCTCATGCTCGAAAAAAAAAAACACCCAAATTTAGATCAAATTCAGTACTAATCCAGATTTAAAAAATGGCTGCCAAACGTACCCTAAAAAGTTTGAGGCGTTCTCAGTAGAAAAACCAAAAAGTTCGAGGTAATTTACCCGAGAGGCGGTAATTTCACCGCAGTCACTTCCCCTACTCATTCACCCCTGTTTTACCTGCAGGTAAGCTCACCCAAACCCCACCCTCGCTGCAACCCTAAAAAACCCCTCCCTCCGAGGGTTTTGGCGCCAATTCCTTGAACCCCAAAACCCCAAAATCAATCGAGAGAGCAAAAAGGCGGCCTCAGAAATGACGGAAACAACCTCGCCGATGGAGATCGACGCCGCTCCTCCGTCGATCCCCAGCAAGGGCAAGTCCGTAACCTCCCCCTCCGACCGCAAGTCCGCCCCCTGGGTCGAGAGTACCGCCCAGAGTCTCTCCCGCCACAACCGGACCAACAGAAGAGCGACATCGTCGACACAAGTAAACGATTCGAAATTCGGACTAATCCGTGATTTCCCCCCATTTTTTTCTGATTTTTTTTTGTTTTTTTTTCTTCCTCCAGTCGATCGGTTGACAAACGAAAACAAGCTGCCGCATTTGCTTTTGTACGGACCGCCGGGGACTGGGAAGACGTCGACGATCTTGGCGATGGCGAGGAAACTGTACGGATCTCAGTACCACAACATGATTTTGGAGCTGAATGCGTCGGATGACCGAGGAATTGGTGTTGTTAGGCAGCAGATTCAGGATTTCGCGAGTGCTCGTAGCCTTTCCTTTGGGTAAAATGGCTGATTTGAACCTCTGTGATTATTTTGTTTGGATTTTTGAGCTCAATTGGGTTTCATGTGTGATGAAAAAGATTGTTTGTAGCTGCGGATGGTTTTAATTGGTAGTGGAAATGCTAGCAGTATTTGGTGTTGTTAACCAAATATATTTACTTTATTAGGGTTTTCGCTATTGAATGCCATCTAATTAGTTTTCCCTTGATTTGCGCTTTTGTGCTCATCCTTGCCCGTTGAACATGCAGCTGATCCTGCAATAATCTTGTTCTCATGGGTACGATTTTGTATTGTCAAATTCATGTGCTTTTTCCTCTTGAAATGTAGTTATTCTCTAGGCGAGATTACAGTCAAAAGGACAAAGTTCATATCTGGGCAACCCACTCAAACCAACTTCAAACTGCTTAATTTTGAAGTTCTATACATTGATAAGGCAACCCAAAGGCATAAGTAGAAGGAAAACCACTTTTGTCATAGGATTTAAGTGAGCGTTAAAACATGACACGCTCCTGGTTTGGTACACGGTTCCAATTAAGCTTCATTATCTGATAACCCAAACATTATCGAGATTTTTTGGGGTTGGATTTCTGAATTGTATTTGAATATCTGAATTTCTAATTAAATAATTTATTGAATTTAGACCCTCTAGTTCTAGTTTTTTGTTTAGCCATTGTTAATTCTCAGTTGGAGCCTACAAATTATAATGCATACACAAGTGAATCATGTAGGATTCAGTCCGAATCTCAACTGTCACCCCCTAGCTATGTTGCATGGGTATGGGTACGGGTATGTAACACTGTAAATTTGTAAAAGGTAGGGTATGGGGACACGGCTATATAAATATTTATATACATATATGTTATTAATTCCATCCCTTTTCCTCCTTGGATCATAAACAAATAAAAATTTCTCGAGTTATAAGAATCCATATGAGAACAAATATGAGAACTAAAATTCCTATAACATTATTATGTTTCTTTTATTATGTGGATTATAAATTGAAAAATCACTAGTTTTTAATCCGAATGACCCTTCAAAATCGCAACTCAGAACTTGACCTATGTCCAACGAGTTTTAAGAAGTTGATATGAAGTGTAGGATATATGTCCAAAAATTGTATAACAAGTGTTTTAAAGTAAAACATGTACTGTATAATTGTGCACATGCCCGGATAAATGTATGCATATATGCAAGGAGTGTCCAAGGAGTTTGGGAACTGATACGGGTACGCGTCGGGGTATGGGTACGGCTTATTAGAAGTACGAGGTACCATAGCCCCCTTGCTAGAGGTACTCATCACTTGAAAGCTGTCTTTAGCCAGTCTGAGGAAAAACTCTATGAGAGTTGTACTCATGAAAGCTAGCCTGAAAGGATCGGCTAAATCTGGAGTAACGAACCATCTCTGGAGTAGCAAACACTTAAACTGGTTGACAGAAGTAGCTTAGTGTTAACGAGATCTCCATGCATATAAGCCAATCCTTTTTGTGCACGAAAGAACCCAATATTTGTTTGAGATTTCATACTAGTATTGTTGACCCAAAGAGCTTGCTGAGTGAAGAAAATTGACCCAAAAGGAGTGAAACCTCTTGCGCGTGGCTGTGCACATGGCTGGGTGTGTGGGTGTGCTCTATTAACTCTAAAGTCTACTTACTTGTATATACTTCTTGCAGTGCACCGGTTGCTGTGAAGTTGGTTTTGCTCGATGAGGCAGATGCAATGACCAAGGACGCACAATTTGCTCTGCGTAGAGGTCTGTGTTTTGTCCTCCTTTGTCTCACTTTACAGTTTGTCCATATATGCCAACTGTCTTTATTCTTATTTGTCTAATGCAGTGATTGAGAAATACACAAAGAGCACTAGGTTTGCACTTATATGCAACCATGTCAACAAAATTATTCCAGCTTTGCAGTCAAGATGCACTCGATTTCGTTTTGCTCCTCTTGATGCTTCCAACATTAGGGAACGGCTTCAATATGTTATAAAGGCTGAAGGGTATAATTTCCTTTCTGATTTTGATTGTATATGTTAGTATTGTCATCTGTAAGTTTATTTTCAGAATTGGGGCTTCTACTTGTTGATGTAATAGGATCACAATCTCTATGAAGCAATTAGATTATGATGGAATTACAATCTTTTATATATATATATATATATATATATATTATATATCTATATATATATATATATATATATATATATATATATATATTAATGAGATTAATCGGTATCCTTGTCAAGGAGCGGGATTTTCCTCTGACAGTGATGTGCACAATCCCCACCATGTGAATAAAGTAGGAGAGAGATTTCACATACTGAGGATTGTGCCACATAGGTGTCAGGAGGAAAATCCTCTCCTTGACAAGGATACCATTAATCTCTATATGAGATTAATAGGTATCCTTGTCAAGGAGGGGATTTCCTCCTTGACAATGATGTGGCACAATCCCCACCATGTGAATAAAGTAGGATACCCATTAATCTCTCTCTCTCTCTCTCTCTCTCTCTCCTCTCTCATTATATATATATATATATATATATATATATATATATATATAGTATATATATAATATATGCAGATGGTTTTGGTAGTTCTTCCAGTGAGAGAAAGGGAGTTGTTTTCATTCTTGAAGTCATGCTAGTCCTGGTCATAAGATGAGGGAAAAGAGGATTAGCGTTGACTGACTAGATTCTGTAGTGAATGCAAATGCATGTGGCTAAAAAAAATTGAAGTTCCAATTTAATTTTGTTTTTTAGAAGGTATATACTAAACATGTAACACTACATCAATTGAATGGTTTATACCATGTCCTCACTTAATTCATTCCTTAACATTTTTTCTCAATCCACATTTCCAATTGTCTTAGTTCTTTCAAATCATTATTATTCTTTTTGTTTCTTTTCTTTTCTTATCTTTCTTTTTCACCCAACAACCTTTGATGGTGGGGATATTTCCATCATTTTTTTGGTTGCGGTCATGTTTACACAACCTCTCCCAGTTTTGGAGTAGCAGTAGAGGCCAGTGTGAAGAATAGTGGGAATAAGGGGTTACATACGTAGACAAAAAAATAATGTTGAGAGTCAGAGCGTGCTGGGTGTTATGATGGCGGTGGATTGGGGTGAGGTTGTTGTATGCAAATATAACCCCCACCCCACCCCCAAAAAAAAAAGGGGGGGGGGGGGGGGGAGGGGGGGGGGGGGGGGGGGACACAAAGAAGTTAATGATTCTCTTTACAATTTCAACTATCATATAATGCCTCGGTTTGAATACTGGACCTCCATGCATTAGGTTTTAGATTTTCTAACATCTGCTGAACTACTTTAGAAATTTTAGGATATGCCTGTAACAGGTATCTTTTGTTGTACTCGTGCTTCATAGCCAAATTGCTAAATATCTTTTTAATGTTGAAATGAAGGTTGTGTTGAAAGGGAAATATCTAATGTTGTATGGCTATAGCCTATAGAAGTGCTGATTATTTCTATATGGTATTCAATAATATTTCGTTCTCTTTCTGTGGAAATACAATTTTAGAATGTGCATCCATAACATCTTATTGTTTTCTTGACCGAGTCTAAAATTGAAAGCAGTAGCTAATATATGATTGTATTATTTTTAATTACTGACATGCTATCCTTGGCTCAGCCTGCATTGGTTGATAAAGTTTGGGTGAAGCCTGTGTACTGCTGTCCGCATGATTAAATATGTTTTAAGACTATGCGTACTAGATTTTTATGAATATTTATCTCTGATTTTCTTCTTGTAGGTTGGATGTATCAGAGAGTGGCTTAACAGCCCTAGTACGGCTGAGCAATGGTGACATGAGAAAGGCTCTTAACATATTGCAGGTTACCTGCATTCTGATTGAGACAATTGCATTTTTGTGTCAAAAAGTTGATGTGATGCTTATATGATTGTTTTCAAGTCCCAATAGAAAGAATTTGAAACATGCATCCATAGTTCTGTTATCTTCTAAAAAAAAATTTCATCGTCATCTCATTCTTTATGCTTATGGCCTAACTTGTTCTAAATATCATGATCCAGTCAACGCATATGGCTTCTCAGCATATAACAGAAGAAGCTGTCTACCTTTGCACTGGAAACCCAATGCCAAAGGACATTGAGCAAATAGCCTTCTGGCTTCTTAACGAATCTTTCACAGATAGTTTTAAGTGTATCCTACAGTTCCTACTTCTTACTAATATTTCTTTCATGGATTTTAATACTGAACAATTTAATTGACTCCTTATTATGAGAATTGCTTTGTTTATTCTTAAGTTGTGGTAGATATATCTGATACCAAAATGAAGAAAGGGTTAGCTTTGGTGGATATTGTGAGGGAGGTCACTATGTAAGTGAAAGGGTGAAAGCCTACTCATCTACACTCTGAGATTGTGTTATTAGTTGCTGCTTCTTGAATCTTACTGCACCATATGTCATTTCAGGTTTGTTTTCAAGATTAAAATGCCATCAGCTGTCCGAGTAAAGCTAATTAATGATTTGGCTGATATCGAGTAAGTCTTCCTCACATGCTGTACTCAAACTCATCAAAAGTTTTTCTCTCTTGCTGGTCATTGAACTTTGAGATTAAGTGCCATGTTTACCTTGATTTCTCTCTTCAGCTTACTTCAAATTTAGTAATTAGGTTACAGACACATTACAAATTCGTGGCCTTCCTGAATATGCTGATACACATCTTGTGGAACCCCATTTTGCACTATCCCGTACAATTTTTGATGAAACAAATAATATTACATAAACAATCTGATGAAACATAGCCTAGTCTTATTAATTCAGCTTGTCTAAATCAGTGACTTAATTTATCTCTGGCCCTTGTCTGAGTTGTCTCTTTCAGTAGTTGTTTCTGATAGAGAGCAAGTGTCATGCAGATGAAAAGATCTGTTTCAGTTCCTCAACTGTCACCTTGAACTTAAGCGGCATTTGCCATTAAATCCTTTCATCATTTTTATCAAAAGACTACATTATGTAAAAATAAAATAAAATAAGGCAATAGCTGACATCCTGTGAGTTGAATGTAAAAATGTAGTAGTTCTGAATGCTATAGCATCTAGGATTTATCGCATGCATTCTACGTTTCTGTTAGAAAAGGTTGAGTTGGGAAAATGGTGAACCACTGTATCCTATTAATGTGCAAGGCTACTGCTACTTCTATCAACCCGTGCTTGTTTCTGTTTCTAACAATATTTTGCTGAAGGAGGAGCATCACTTGTATGTCATAATCCAAAAACTTTCAATACTTGGTTTTTGTTTCAGGTACAGGTTGAGCTTTGCATGCAACGATAAGCTACAGCTCGGGTCACTCATCTCAACTTTCACTACTGCTCGCTGTGCTTTGGTTGCTGCAGCTCAATAAAAATCGAAGTTGCTTTGAATTATTCCTACACCTTTGGATTTAATGATATATATGCATGAGATGGGCGTGTGTTTTCTCTGTATAATGTTGACTGAGGACTGGATAGTGAAGTCATGGATGGATGGTGTATATCTTTCTGATGGAATCAACTTTTTGGTAGATCACATAATGGAATGAAGTATTTTGTTTATGCCCCATTTTGTTTTCTTTTCATGAACTGCATATTGATTTGGAGTTTATTCAACTCATTTCCTTTAAACTTTCTTTGATAAATAACTTTGTGTTGATTTAGTTAGTGTATAAAAGTGCTGATATTTTTTGGTTTTAAAATTTTGAATGTCTGGCTTGAACATAGTTATATGCTGTGAAAGTTGAACTGTGTCTTTTGCAAAAGAAAAGAGTACATAGAAAATACGTCGAATACCAGTTTAGTATGAAAAGCAACATTTTAAGTTGTCTTGTTTTTTGTTCATACATCTGAACTTTGAAAATTTTCTTCTCAGTCGAATACCAGTTTAGTATGAAAAGCAACATTTTAAGTTGTCTTGTTTTTTGTTCATACATCTGAACTTATGTTGCAAATGCTAGCAACTCGAACGCTAGAAACCATAACAATCTTGTAAAAAGTAAAGGATGCAACTGGCACGGATGAAAGATTTCTCGTCTTATAGCAACACGAGATTCTTTCAGATTTATCTGATTAAAATGGGATAAAATGCATAAATATAGTTTGAACTTAGATCCAAACCACATTTCAGAACGTTTTGCAGGCATAAATTCCCCCATTTGCCTTCTCACATTTGCATTCATAATGAGATTACACAAATTTTTATCATATTGAAACATCTAACATCACAAATCTAAATTTAGGCACTTCCATGAAAAAGCCTACTCAAAAAAGGAGTGGCACATGCTGAGCAAGAACCGACACGGGAAGAGGAAAAGTCTGATATTCCTTTTTTCAGAACATCAATTCCTGTAGTATTTTGCATCATACTGTCTTTCATTACACCCAAAAGCATGAAGTAAAAAAACTCATGCATACAAAATTTATAATATCCTATACAGCAAAAACTTTATTTCACAAACTCTAAGTAGTCCTATTGGTTTGAAGACAACTTGGAATTGCATCATCTGGACTTATCATGAAGTCCTTCAGAAGCATGGACCCCTTCTATTCGATGAGTAGCCTGTGATATTGCATAATGAGATGCACTGTAGGCAGCATAGTAGGATGACACTGTAAGCTGCGCAAACTTTGGGACTGCATATGCTGAAGTCCAAATATGACATCCAAGTTAATCTCAAACATCTATTGGTAGGAAAAACAGAAGGAAAAGTTATAAAATAGACAATTTTACCTCCAACTGCAGCACCAACTCCAGAAAATAATAGTAGTAGGGGAACCTGGTATATAGTTAAGATATGATAAATCATTACATCATAATGGCACTTATTAATTACAAGATAAAATATAATGGTTCATTAGAACATACATGATACAAAAAAGGAGCATCTATGTCATTAAAGCATTTGCATGGACAAATCAAAGCTTATAGCAGGAGCTTAAAATGACAATCAATAGTATAAAGTACAAACTTGGGGAAAATCTCACGAGAGAAGATAAAGATGATACAAAAACGGTCCAGCTAAGCACTCATGATATCAACAAAAAACAATTTTATAATGCCAACCTTCACTACTTTCTTCTGCTAATCACAATCTTTACTCATATGGGATAGGTTATTGGTTTCTCAGCTGCAGAAATGATCATATCAAATCCAATTCTTCCAGAATTGCACTCAATACCATACATGGCCAAATGATCCAATTGAATAATATGATTATCATTGTGACTTAGAGTCCACATATGAAAACAGTAGAGCATCAGTACCATGCTCGCAATTTTACGAAAATGAATAACTATGTTAAATTTTATTTTAGCTTGATAGAGAATCTGACAACTTAAACTTTCGGGTGAATGCTTTTTGGTGTGGTAACCATAGCACCAGATTTCAAGAGATTCCGGATTCAAACCTGATCATTTATAGATATAGAATATGTTTATTGATCTTAGGCTTTTTTAACCAACTTAAAAGCTGAAGGCTTTTTCACGTGGCTTAAAGTCCCCCAGAGGAAAATGTTTTAGAGTATAATGTCAACTTCATGTACACTCTTTAGGTTATACACAAACACATAAAGGATAAGCAAACACATAAAGTGGTTGTACACGAACTTAACACAGACAATAAAACACAGTCAAATTGTTGAACATGAACTGATGAAGAAGAGAGATTGATTATAATTGGTTCTAGACAATGTAGAATACATCAAAAAGAGCATCAAATCTAAATTACAAGTATGGTCTGAACTCCTGGCACAAAGTATCTTTGGGATAGGGAAAACAGTACAATTCGAAAACAGTACAATTCTTTTTAACTTGCCAAAGGAAACATCCTTCACATAAATATCTTAATCTAAGTATCATACAACATGCTCTCTGACCACTTTCAAAATATTTGTTTAAAATCTCTTCCTAATATTCTTCATATGGTCTCTCTGTCCTGTTCTTTACACAACCAAAGCATCTCTGACCTAACTAACTTTTCAGGCATCTACCTCAGAGTTTCATTTATCAGATTTTTATGGAATATACGGGTCCCAATTTCCAGTCAACTAATGGATTCTTGCAGTTCACTCATTTGCAGCTACATATCTGTTTGCAAAGAGGTTCATCGACTGCAGCAGCAACAAGAAAAAACCTAGTCTTCTTGATATATGCACGCCTAAAGGCATAAAATAGTAACACAGGCTTAAGTGGTTATGGAATACATAGGAGATTGTAGGGAGAATAAGTGAAGCCGAGGTGACTACAAAATGATAGAGCCAAGGGATCAAATACAGTCAAAGAACTAAGTTTTCTGCATCCTCTATAGGTCAAAAGGAAAGAAGCTTAAAGCCCAAAACACCAAGCCAATATTAAAGAGACATAAAAAACAGGAAAATAAAGACATAAAGGAGAGATGTGAGGGTTGTGATTACAAGTGACGCAAGGAAGACTTCAAAATAAGTGGTTCAATTTAAAATTGCATGCAAGCTAACCAACCAAATCAAAGAACTGTAATAAACAAGCATGATAGATATCTTTGTTTTCCAAGAAACTGAAAATTGGTCAAAAATCAAAAGTCAAAGCACAAGAGCTTTTCAAAATGAGCAGGGGAACTGTTCAAGAAATTTTATGCAACAGATAGGTCTAGTGATATAAACTCAGCTAGTCTCCATAACTGGCTCAAACGTTTCATATCAAGTTCAGAAAAGAAGCCTCCACTATCATCAATTTTGAGATATACTAAAGTTCCCTAATTCTCTACTACTATGAAAACAACAAAATATGACTGTATGATCCTCTAATCAAGCAACACAAAGTATATCAAACTAATTATATGATGTTGAAATGAAGATACCACTACCTTCACATATAAAACACTAAACATTTGCTGTGCATAACAAAAACAATGTATCCATAGAAAATCATATAACACAAAAGAAAACAAATGAAGCAGCTTTAAAAAAAAAATCAATAAATTCTTACCCCTGTAGCAATCTGCACCCACTTGGGTCCTTTCACATGCTTCTGAACAAGAGGAATACCTGCAACAAATCCAACAAAAAACCCAATTCAGCAAAAAAAATTTAATAATAATAATAATGATAATAACCAAATGAACAATTTTTCAAAATCAACCCATTTAGTTTTTTATTTTTCAAAATCGACCGTTTTTTCTTTTATTTATCAAAACCGACCGGATTTTGTGATTAGCAGATTAATCACTATCCTAAATAGTCGGGGTTGCCAACCCCGACTATTTAGGAGGGTGTTAAACCCTAATTAAGGCCTTTAATTAGGGTTTAACACCCTCCTAAATAGTCGGGGTTGGCAACCCCGACTATTTAGGATAGTGATTAACCTGCTAATCACAAAATCCGGTCGGTTTTGATAAATAAAAGAAAAAACGGTCGATTTTGAAAAATAAAAATCCGAATGAGTCTGTTTTGAAAAATTATTCTAACCAAATTCCAAACATTATAAAAATAGAAGCACACATAAAAGGCAACAAAAAAAAAATATTTTCCTGTATTAAATCCATGTACAGCGCTGAGCAAAGCACCAATCCCAGAGCCAGCCTACCAGAAAACAAAAGAATTAAGCAATTGAAAAATAATATTTGACCAATTCATAAAACTCAGCCCAATTTGAACTTACGACCGCCGACAAATCATGAAGAACTGAAGTAATCGTCCCCTCTCCGTTTCTCTAATCAATAAAAAAACAAACTTTTAGTTTCCTAGTTCCATCTTTTAAACAAACATAATAATAAAAACCAAGGAGAGAAAAAAAAATAAGAGATTTACAGTGTTGGGATCAACGTGAGAGAGGCATCGAGGGCAGCGAGCGGATCCGAGGCCGGGGTTTATCGTGGGGTCGTAGTGTAAGTCAGCAGATCGGAGCTTCTCCTCGTACACTTCTCTCGTCCCCATTTGGGGTTTTATCTTATTTACATACAAATTAGGAAAAATCTTGAACGACGTTGACTTCCTCCGCAGAGGAGACGGCGGCGAGTTGGAGATGGTGGTCGGTCGGTCGGAGAAAGAAGCGGAGCGCTCTTGGCAGTGAACCAAGGTTTGGGGTTTTGATTTGGGGGGAGAAAACAGAAAATTGATACGTCAAAGGGGTTTCTTCATATATACACATCAAATCTTCTATGTTTAAAAGTCGTCCCTCCAAATCTTACAATTTGCAAAACTAGCCCCAAATATTTCTCATTGGGCTTTTCTACCCCTCAATTTAACAATGTTGGCTCATAAGTAGGACAAAATCGAAATTTTCTAATAGTTTTCAATATGTTTGCGGTATTTTCCAGTTTGGAACCTAAAAATTGTTAAGTGGGAGAGGGTAAAACAACACAAAGAAAAAGAATTAAGAAATAATTTTACAAATATCAAGATTTGAAGAGTATGCATGCAAAAAAAAAACCCTTATGAAGTGCTATATTTTGGGATGAACTAATATATTTAAAATAAAATTCCACATTAGGGTTATATCATTCTAGAACGTCTGTAATCTATAATATATGGGCATTTTCTCATAGGCATTTTCTCATACATCACATATTCAAGAGAGCTCATTCAATCAACAAACACAATAAAAAAGAGGAACCTTACTTACATTTAATAAAAAACCTTTCTCACAACTATATTACATATCTTATACATAGTTCAAGCAGAAAAATCACTAACAAACTGAAGAAGTCGGCACGCGTGGCAGCCCTACAGACGTCGCCGACCTCGAAATCGTAGTCGTTCGCCTCCGTCGCGTCGGCCGTCGAGAAGACGAAAGGCGATCCTGTCGTCCTCCTTTATTTTCTCATACTCTTCCAAGGTCATCTCCTACAAGGAGCAGAAGGGGTTAATATATAATTGGCAACCTTGGCGCTATAAACTAGTTATTCAAAATTATTTTTTTTTTCTAAAATAAAAACTATAATCTTCCAGACGAGTGATAAACAGAGGCAAGAATACAAATAATCTCAGAGGTAAGAAGTACCAATCCAATATTCAATGCCAACAAGAACAAGAAAATCTAGCTAGTAATTATTTCTATTTAACTTTTAGAAAGATCAATTGATAACCCGTTGACCAAATTATTCTAATACACTGCAAATCATAAAAAATCATTCTGTTCAAATTACTAAATTTAGAATGTTGGGCGATCCCTGAACACGTTTCAATGTTGGGCGGCTGCTGGCGTTGAAGAATCGCTCCGCCTTGAGAGGAAGCTAGGGTTCTTGGAGAGGAGGTCTCCGGCGTCGGCGGCGGAGAAGAATGGGCGGCCGTCGGGGCCTCCGGTGAACAGCATGGAGTCAAGGACTCTGCCGGCGCCGGATCCTGCGGCGACGTCGAAGAAGTCGGCGATCGAGGCTTTTTGATCGCCGGAGATGTCTCGGAGGGTGTGCGACAGAGAGTGGCGCCGGCGAGGATGACGTCGTCGTCGTCGTGGCCGTCTACGCAGATGATGTGGACCTCGCCGGAGGCGGAGGATGAGGGCTTGCCGTGTTGGGGGAGGGGGAGGTTTTGGGGTCAGCTCAAGGAGAAATGGGATCTGAGAGTATTAAATGGGGAAGGGTAAATTAGGAATGGATTTATTGGGTAGTGGGTTTACACAGTACTTGGGGGTTGCTTGCACTACTTTTTCGGTTTAAGAATTTTTAGGTTATGATTCTTGAACTGAGGGTGGGGATGAATGAGCCAATTTAATTTGGTTCCCCCAAGCAATTTTCCCTTAATTTTTTTTCCCAATGGGTAACTGGTAGAATGTTAGAATCTTTTCCTGTCTTCAACAATACCCACTTAGGCATAGTTCTTCAACATGTAAGTTGTAACAATCTGCTTTCATGTCTCCTTTCATTTTATAATAGAAGAAATTTTCTAAATAAACCCATTCATAATTTTTTTTCTAAAAATAGACCCCCTTGAGTTTTTTTTATAAAAATCGACTCATTTTGTCTTAATCCGGTTTTTAAATAGTTGGGGTTGCCAACCCTTACTATTTAGTGTTGTGCGCAGCGGAAGCTTCGAGGTAACACGAACAATAACTCGAGATAAATCATAACCACTAAGCAAATCACAATCACAGCAAGAACAAACTATTTATGTGGTTCGGCAAGTTGCCTATGTCCACGGGGCAAGGAGGGGGGAGTTCTTACTATTAGAAATCAAGAGAATACAAATAGAGTTACAAATCTCACCGATCAAACCCTAAAACAAAGCTCTAGATCTCTCTCACAAATCTTCCACAATTGGATGTACAAATCTCACCGATCAAACCCTAAAACAAAGCTCTAGATCTCTCTCACAAATCTTCCACAATTGGATGCAACAATTCTTTCTAAAAGACTGCTCAAAAACATCATTGCTTAACCCTAACTAATTACAATTAGAGTTATATATCAACTCAGAAACGAACCGGATTAAAAACCAAAGCCCAACCCAAAAACAGTTGCGGTCGACCGCGCAGGTATCATGGTCGACCGCGGCGGTCGACCGAACCAAAAACCCGAGAGCAGAATCGATTACAGTTATGGCGCGGTCGACCACGACGGTCGACCGAATCTCATCCCGAGACCAAAAATCACCTACAGGGTCGCGGCGGTCGACCGCCACGGTCGACCGCCTTCAGCTCCGAATCCTACTGCCCTTCTGTGAACGTTCGCGGTCGACCGTCGTTGACTCGCGGTCGACTGCCAGTCTGCTGTAGGCGTTAAAAAATGCTAATAGATATTCCAAGCATAGAGAAGATCACTCAAAAATTCACAAGAAAGGATTTCATACTGTTTTGGAAAAATCAAAACAAGTATGAACTGTCTCGCCAGCGAGACAGGCTTTGCTGTCTCGCCAGCGAGACAGTATTTGCTGTCTCGCCAGCGAGACAGTCTTTGCTGTCTCGCCAGCGAGACAATGTTGAAATAGTCAAAACTACATTTGTAACTGCCCTACACGTGTCCATTAACTGCCAAGGGACGTGGGAAACATCATGGGCGAAAATCACGTGGATAACTGCCAAAATAACGGAGTTTGAAACGTGAGAGAACAGTTACAGCGAGAAACTGCCATTTTCCGAGACAGCATTTACTGTCTCGCTGAGCGAGACAGCAAATTTACTGTCTCGCGGGTCGAGACAGCAAACGCTGTCTCGCCCAGCGAGACAGTAAACACTGTCTCGCCGTACTGACTTCTTCGATTGTTAAGTTTTTGCAGTTACTGACCCTTGAGGCTATAAATACCCCCCTAGGGTCACTTCTGACGAGGATCGAGCATTTGTTAGAGCATTCCAGAGCAGAGAGAGCAGAGATTTGAGTTCTTTTCTTGCAACGCCTTGAAATTAAGCTTCGACTTGATTTTAAGAAGAACGACTATCTTACTTCGATAAGATATCGTTTCAATTTCTACTTCGATAACGAAGTTAGAATCATAAGCCCCCTCTTCACGATCTGTGAATCGGCGGTCCACGAACCAAAGCGTTCCCGGCACAGGCAAAGTCCCACGAAAACGAGAATTGATAGACGATTTTCGTGTTTGTTTCTCAAGAGTTGTAATTTTTGTTTTGTTGTGTAGAAAAAGTCTTATAAAAAGATTATTCTTTCGAATTTGTTGTAATCGAACAAAGTTATAATGAATTCCACAGCAGCGACTTTTGAACCAAACAAGCTGGCGACCACAGTGGGAGCCAGCGGTCTCGCTGCCGAGACCGCGGTGTCGCAACCGATCAAGATCATCATCAATGAAGAGATCGAATACGAATTCGATCAGGCGAAGTTTGAGGAGTATTTATCATCCTCATCCGCGAAATCTTCCTCGTCTCGCAAATATAGGAAGATTTCGAAAACTTTCAAGTCTGCAATGCCCAAAGAGGCCGCAGGTGAAGGTTCCTACTCAATTGCTGCTAAGGAACCCATCTGCAACATACCTGCTCCAAACGCCTCCACATCCCTTAAGGAGTCGATGACGAATAGCTCGCCGGTGCTGACGAAGAGGGCTCGTCAGAGACAGCGTCAGCGCCGTGCTCGACAACTGGCTAAGGCCATGCAACAAACCGACGGGGTCCATTACTATGCGGACCTAGAGTCGAGGAAACAGAAAGCGGTTCAATTGCCCCAACGGCAAAATAATTGTATTTCTGCAAAACTTACGACGGAGGAGTGGACTCTCGTCAAAAGGGCCCGTTCAACCCTCAAGGAACGGATACAAAGGCGTAAGGCGAAGGCTGCCCAAACTCGCGCTCTTCGTCAACAAGCGCAAGGAACCAAGAAAGAGACAGTGTCTGAAAAGTCACCGAAGAATCGTAAAGTCTGGATGCCAAAGACACCACAAGCATCTGTTCCGGGCCCGTCTACTGCAACACCAGTAGAACCCTGGGTTAGCCCAGATTTGTCCAAGTTCAAGATAACAATGGCAGATCGCCTTGGTCCTTCAGTTGATGATCGAGGCAAAGCCCCAGTCAAGGAACAACCATGTCCGGCAAATAAACCATTAATGGTTTCATATGCAGGGGGTCGTAAACACCCTCCTGTCAGAACTGCACAAGTCCAAAACGAGAGAATACCAGTTCACTCTCGTTTAGGACCTCTGAAAACTCCACACCCGCAAGGGGGTGGATTTAAACATTCAACTTTGGATCGCTCAGAGGCGACGACCAGTCGTCCTGTGCATGTTAACAAAGTTCAAAAGCGAAAGATAGGTTGCTCGAATCACAATAATGATGAGCTGTACTATCAGAAAGATAACTCAAGAAAGAGAGTTGTCAGAGAAAATGAGTCTCATTGCGCTTGCGAGAGACTCATTAAAGCAGTGTTGACAGAATGCGGATGCTCTAAGAATAATTCAACAAGAGTCTCCGTATTTCAAAGATTGTCCAATGAAGCGTCAAAACCCAAAATGAGACGTTTCAACAAGAAAAAATCTGTAATCCAACGAGATGAATTCCCTGAGGTCACTATCAACATGACCAACAAAGGAAAGAAACAGTTAGTTAACCCCGACCCTGATTTCTCTCCGGGAGGGAGAGTTGAGCGGGGTCTTTCTCAAAGGATGGCGCGGTTACAAAGAAGAGCCAACTTACGTCGAGATTACAGGAGAATGCACGAGGGTTTATCTT